CCTTGTCATTTAAATGCTGATTGCGCAAGTTGTAAAATTGTCCCTTAAATAAGTGGTTTGGTAGTAGAAACTAGCTTAGATGTCAAAAGATTAAGACTAAGATGCTTCACACACACACACACTAGTGCAATCCCCGCGCAGGGGCGGGGCAGGGGTTTTGTTCTTCTTCTTTTTCTGTGTATCATATTCTGTCTTGGTGCAGGGAGATAAGTCCATGAAACGTACCACATATGCACGTATGCACACATATCCTGACAGCCTCACCTGCAGCCCGTTTTCGTCTAGGCGCCTGGCGTCTTCCGTCAAAAAGGGACCTCTTCAAGGCCCTTTTTTAAGAGCTGTTTTCAGCCCAGTCGCACTAGCGAAAGCTAGCCAGCCCAAGAACGACATGTACGACTGTACGACCCAGGGATTGCTAGGATATTTGTGGGGGGTCAGCACCTAAAGAAGCTAAAGCCTACAGAGCTCCCGCTAGCACAGCTAGCTTTGGTGATTTGGCACGCGTCGCGCAGTGCTGAGCGGGTGAATTTGAGCACAGGTCCGAACTTATCATTTGCCCGGCTTGTGCGCGGTGTTTAGCGAGAGCACTGAGCTGGGCTGCTCATCATTTGGCAGGCGTGCGTGTGCAGTGAGCTGGTGCATTTGAGCGGAGGTTCGTATCATGTTGCAGTCATGTGAGAGGTGGTTGTTTCGTCATATTTGCCTCTGAAACTTTACTTGAACATGCTGAGACCCCGGCTTATACATGGATGCTTCCAACAGACAGAAAGTACTGGCCACACCATGATACTTGAAGAAAGGTCAAACAACCAGGCCGAAAAACACGTTGTTGTTGTTGTTCCCGTCATGTTGGCCCTGTCAGTGAAGTGAATATATATATATATATATGTATATACTTTGGAACAATAGCAGCACGGACATCATTTGGCTATACATACATGTATATATATATATATATATATATATATGTTCTACACCTCTACTTACAGCATTATGCTAGTCGAACAAACAACAACAAACAACACATGCTATTTGGACCCCCCCCAAAAAAAAACAAAGAAGCTGCGGATTTCATGTTGGTGTCCCATATAAACAAAAAAACTCTCTCCAGAAGGGGTACCAGCTTTGAAAAAATGACAGGCCCAAATTAGGGAGCCTCCAAAAGTTCGGTATGAGGTGCCACCTTGAAAGAAGAGGATGCCCCAGGCAACAAGAAGGAGTTGCGCCATCGAGTTTCAGCTGCACCTCACGACCCCGTTTAGGCCCTTCTAGTACCTAACTCCATGGTGCCGCAACGAATCAACTCGCAAACATCGGTTCGCATTCATCGATTCGAAACCGCCTGGGCCTCACCGCTCGAAAACCGGTCGAGCAGCTCGGTGGATTCGATTGGGATTGGAGCCGTCGATTCGCATTCCATTCGAATCCATCTCCGCTTCTCCGAGTCGAAAACCGGCGTCGACTCGGTGGAATCATTCGGTTCGCGGTGAGCGGGTCATCTGCTCGCATTCATCGCTTCGAATCCCTCAAACCGGTCTGAACCGTGGAGCCTTACCTCAGGGCCGCCCCGGACCGGAGCCTATCTGGGCTGAGACCGCTTTCAGCTGTTGGGGAAAAACCCGGTCTTTAAAAACCGTTTTTGGGCGCCTCGGCCCCTTCGCTGCGCGAACAGCGCGTTTCAAACACGCGCGCTTATCGACTCGATAAAAGCGAAAAGCGAAAAGCATTTGGTCCTCCTTGTTGGCCCAGTGCAGCATGAAGCCGCTGGTCACGATGCCCCAGACCTCCCGGAAGCTGCTGATGGGCACGTTGAAGAGATCCCAGTCCCCCGGGCCCCAGCCTCGAATTCGAAGCGGATCGGATGGATCGGATCGATCCGCGATCCGAGCGAGGCGGATCCAGCAATTGGTCCGATCCATTGGTTGGACTCGACAGCGGGGTGAGGCCGGAAAGATATCTATATATATATATATGTATGTTTGTATCTATATAGAGACGCCAAATGGCTGTGGGTCAAAAATGGGTACCCAAAATAGAAGCCTGGTAAATGGAACCAAGGACTCCTGGTGGTTTAATTTTGACCCACACCCAAATGCGTGTGGCTCGACATGAAAGAGCTAGGGCAAACCGCAGGGTTTGGTCTTTGGTTCCATTTGCCAAGGTGCCATTTGGGTACTTGTTTTTGAGCCACAGCTTTTTGGAGGGTATAGGGATGCCAAAAGGAAACAAACCAAAAGGGTCCCCAATTTTGAGAAGCACTAAAAGGAAACCAAGCACCGGCCAGGGTCCGTAATTTTGAGAAACGATAGGGAAACACGGGTGGCTCATCTTTAAGAAGGACCCACCCACCAACCCCCCCCCAAAAAAAAAAACATGGCTGTGCAGGAACCAGGGTTGGGTGGGGTAGGCATTTCCCAGAAGCATGAATCCATGCTGGGTGATTCAAACCAAATGCTTCTCAAACACAGGGCACCACGAAAGCACCGGCCACATCCCCCGCAAAATCGGGGTGCCCCGAAAAGCATTTCTCGGATTTTCTCGGTGTTCCTTTGGTTTCGCAAGAAACTGCCAGAAACGAAACCTACCCCGGGTCCCCCAAAGTACCTTGTTTGCCTCAAAAAGAACCGGGGGGTTAGCAAAGAACCGGGGCCAGCTTCCTCGAAGAACTTCCGTCCGGGGGGTTAGCGAAAAGCGACCATTTCCGTCCCAGGTGCCCAGGATGGAGATCACAAAGGAATCCTCGGCTCCGAAGTCTTGGGTTCAGGTTGATACTGTGGGTGGTTGCGAAATACACCCATCAAACGCGCCACGAAAGGAAACCACGGGAATGAAACCATCGCTTTTGTTGGTATTTACAGAGCAATCATCCGAAACCAGGGATTCTTTGGTGGTGCAAAATGGATTTGGTCCATGCGCAGTATGGGCCTGTCCTCTTTTTTGTGCGATGCCCCCAAAGTTTGGCGGGTGCTCAAAGCGACTTTGGGGGTTAGAAAGGTTCCCAGTTCCCAGGCGAGCCCAGGCAGCGCTTCGCCATCCTTTTGGTTGAAGGCTGACAAGCCCTTGGATTACTGGAAAATGGAGCGTCTGGTCTGTCGTTTCTAGGGACCCCCTTTTGGCTAGAAGGATACCGCCATTTTGAGGGGTCCCTACAAAAAGACACCCCCATACAACCCTTATATACACTATCAAACTAATGAAACCAGCTAGTACCATCCTACCGAACTGAGCAACAAGGTGTTCGGCGCCCTCTTGCTTGGTTTCAAAGGGAAACCCGGCACTACAAAAGGCAATCGCCCACAATTAGGAAACACCCAACACTCAGCTGCGCACTTGTTCGCTTGTGGGAAGCTGGGGTTTTCCGGTTGGAAAAGCCGGTAAGCGCACGCGAGCCTTTCATTCGGGCTTGCCCCTGGGTTTTCAGGGTCGATGGTTCTTGCCTAACGATTCGGCTCAGACCAAAACGCAACACCTGAGGCAATCTGGAAGGAGGATCGATCTTGATTGTTCATGGCTTTTTGTCGCTGCAAAGTGACGCATCGTCGTGGGTGACAAATCGCATGTGCTTGTGTGTGTGTGTGCGTTTGTTTTTGAGGGTACCATTGTCAGCAAAACATTTAAAGGGAAGCCAAAAAGACAACCCATTTGTTATTGGTCATCCCTGTTTTGACACCTACGTAATCATATTCAACAAGGACGCCCTGCTCTTTGGGTCTTCACATGAAGCGGCCGGGCCCCCCAATTTCGATACAAAGGGTGTTCGTCAAAATACGTTGGACTATCCTCTCGGTTTGCTCATGTGTCCTGGTTGAAACATCACAACTGCTACCCTCCCGCTGTGGGAGGGAGGGCACCCCTAAAAAACGAGCGACACCGCCCGTTTAGACCAACCTTGCCACGTCTCCTGCACGGACTCCCAGCCGTTTCCCAGCTGCAACAGCAGCATCTGCAGCAGCCGGATCTGCAGGAATCGACTCTTCCAGAGCAGGTCGAAGGGTGCCTGCGGCCAGGTGCCAACCAGCCAGGTGCCAAATTGGGCGTTGAGGATCTCGGCACAAACCACTTACGTACCCTGCAGCTCGGAAACCCTGATTTCTGAGTCGATTCCCCAACGTAAATACCAACAAGTAATGGTTTCAACCATGGTTCATTTCGTGGTGGAACGCATTACATCCAATCCACAGTACCAATGCAGCCGTTCTAATAGTTATCCATATACCCCTTTGCGTAGCCTTTACCCATAGTTCCCCATGATGTCCATTATGGATTCGGAGGGGCAGCCATTCGCTGCCCGTTCAATTCAGGGCATCCGCTGGGTCGATCGCCTTCTTCGGAATGAACCATGAGCTAAACAATAGATATGCAACGCACAAACGGAGACACAACACGTCACACCTTTCTCAGTCGTGCCCATCTTTCTTGAAGGGAAACCCTTCCCTATACCCATCTTGTAAAATGAAGAGGAGAAATAGGAGAACAGCAACTGGTCCTGTACTAAAACGAGAAATGGAATCAATGGCGAGTGGTTCAAAAAGGCCTTCTCCACAAATCCTCTTCACATGCAGCCTCAAGAAGTTGCAGGAAGGGGCTCACCTCGAGGTCTGGGCCTGAAAAACACCAACCACACTGAAACTCGGGCCATCAGCTTACCGGTTTGGAGCCCGGTGACTTTGTGGTTAGGCAGGGGAAACCACATTTTCCCTCTGCGAGAACCAGGGGTTCAAATCCGAATCCAAACCGGGCTCCAAACCATCAACTAGAGGGAAGCTGAGAGTAGACCCAACCCCGCAAAGCCAAAGCCGGGAAGCCAAAGAAACAACCACCCAACCAATCAATCAACCAACCAACCAACCAACTAACCAACCAACCCACCCACCCACCCACCCACACCCGCCCTCCCGCCCTGCCACCCGCCCTCCCGCCCACCCACCGGCCAGTCGGCTCGGCTCGATCCCAAGCTTCCGGCCTGGAGCTCCGCGAAGCTGCTCCGCAGCAAGCCTCGCGAAGCCGATCGAGGCTTCTCATCGGGAACCGCTGCACATGAGGCGGTTCACCTCATGAAAAAAACCGCCGAGAAGGTTTCTTACCAACCAACGAATCCGGGTCTCTGACTGGGCACCGAGTGCGCGAAGTTTTGGGGAGTTTGAAAGTGGCCTATAAGGAACCTCAAAGAAGGAACCTAATGTTGGACCTTGTTTAATGTGAGGCTCCCCCCCCAAGACAGTCAAACCAGTGCTTGGGGGTCCTGAATAGAGGTCTGGCAGGGAACTCGGATGCCAACGTGTTGTTTGACCCCTACTCCAAATACCATCTTTTTTCAGGGTATCATGTCGACCCTCCACTAAAAAAGGAGTTATTTACCATGGAAAACTAGGTTTCCCACAGATACCTTGAAAAAACAGGTATTTTGAGTAGGGGGTAGTATTACCAGCGCTTCCTGTTGGATTGCCGCTACTTTAGTATTGCCTAGTTTATATTTAGTGTATTGCCAGGACTTGCTCTCAGATTTCCAGTGCTATAGTTTAGTACTGCCTAGTCTAAATCTACTATTGCCAGGACTTACCTTTAGATTCCCAGTACTTGGCTAGCATTGCCTAGAGTCAGGGCCTCTTGTGGACAGCCCCCTTTGTGTGACTGCTTGCCCTTACTTTTCTGTGAAGAAGTTATCTAAGATTTGATGGTTTGGGACCATTTGCAAGATTGATATCGTGGCTCTAAGGCCTTTACCCTGTGAGCTGGGAAGAGCTTGACTAGGCGAACCACCCTTTAAACGTAAAAGGCCAAGGCTTTGATTTGACAGCTTCAGTAACCCCATCAAAACAGTTGGGCATTAAATCGACCCCCAAAATAGTCACATTAAGCAGAATCAGGGCCTCTTGTAAGCAACCCCCTTTGTGTGACTGGTTGCCCTTGCTTTGTTGTAAAGAAGCTATCTTAAGTTTGATGGTTTGGGTACCACTGATAAAGAGGAATTCCAGATGTTTGCCCGGATTTGGTTGACCTGTGATTGTGTTGCCCGTTTTTGTTGCCTGGAGTTTTTCCGAACTTGACGTAAATCATGGTCCCGAAACAGTAGGGGGGTCGGGGTCGCGTTTAAGCCAAGGAAACTTGACATATATAATTCAGGGTACCAGTATTAAAACAGGCACAACATTCATAAGGAAGTCGGCAGGATTCTCACCCCTACGACTACGCTGTTACTTTCAAGAAAGTTTCCCTCTGCCCTGAAGCCCTATTCCCCCCAACCATGGTGAGACCCCTGTATATAAATCTGGGTAGAACCAGGGTCCTTTCTTGCCCTCCCAGCACACCCCCTGCCTGGCAGAGACATGTCCTTTGCCATGCCCTTTGGGCCGTCGCCGTTGGACGAGGTCAAGGTCTCCTCTCTTGGAAGTTGAATTTTGCCTTTTGCTGGGTGTATCCAAAAAGCGCAACCCCCAGAATGATGGTTGTCCTTATGGCTTCCCTTGAAACCTGCCTGAAACGGGAATCCTCAAAACAATAACCCAAATGAAGATAGAAATGGAATCCCCCAACTCCGAAGAAAAGAGTAGAACAACGCAACAAACACCCTGGGGTGTGGCAAAAATGGTTGAAGCTTGCCCCCTCCCCTGCAAACCAACATGGGACTCTCAAAAAGAGGGTGCTCTTCAAAGAAGATTCCTTTGCTTTATGAAAGGGCTTGGCTTCTACGTTAATCTGCAGGAGAGGAATTCTTCCAACCCCCCAAACCACATGTGCCATGGTCAAAAGGTCTTATGCGGGACATGATGATGCCCCCATCGATAGGATCTTTGTTGTCTGTGGCACGTATCAACACTTCAAGGGGTGCCCTAGACAAACACTGGTTTTTACTGCGGTCCACGTTGTGCATTGTGGATTACGCAGCAAGTGCGGCCCTAAGCCGACGTCCCACAACAAACTATCAATACTACTCTGGGTGGTTGCGAAATCCTTTTCGCACCACGAAATGAAACCATGGGAATGAAACCATTAGTTTGTGGGTATTTACGGGGGAATCGTCAGAAACCAGGGCTTCTTAGGTGCTGCGACATGGATTTCGCAACCATCCACAGTATGGATAGACCAAATCCATTTCGCACCGAAGAAACCCGACAAGGATTCGCTGCGAATGCCAACTATGGTTCCCATGGTTTCAATGTGCGAAATGGATTTCGCATCCATCCGCAGTATGAACCCTACGAAACCAGTTAGAACCACCCACTCGAATTTGGCCACTAGGTCCTTCAGTAGAGAGGTTAGAAGGGTACCAACCTTTTTCTGTAGTCTATTGTAGTGGGAACCGAATCTCCCAACCAAAAAAGAAACGGTCAAAGGGCACTTAGCTGGGGGAGTAAAGGCCATTTGTGGGGGCCCCGGTTTTGGCGTTGATCGATCGGATCGATATCGGTCTCCGGCAGCAGTCGGTGGCACAGGAGGAGTACCACGACCCCCAGGCTGCCAGCCATCGAGCACAGGAAGCCGAAGTGCATGAACTGCACCCTCAGCTTCCCTCTTGGTTGACGCTGGAAGGGGAGCAACAAAAATCAAATTTTAGCAGTTAAGTTAAAATGCGGCTAACATGTTTAGCAGTCTTGGATTTGGATTAACATGTAATTTTTAGCAGCCTTGGATTTCAAGCACTAAACCACGAGCCAAAATGTTTCCCAGCGGCAACCAGGTCTGGTGGTTTGGATTGGTTTGAAGGCTAGGGCGGTTTCCCATTTACCCAACGCCAGGGGTTCAAGTCTCACCAAGCGAAGTAAGGCTTAGCCACAAACTTCAACCGGGCTGTTTCCTATTGGTTTCCTTTCAACGCCGAGGTCCATGTTGAGGAATCCCTACCGACCCGGTCCAAATCACCAAAGGGTCGCCTGACTGGTTGCAACTGGACACCCCTTCGAAGTGCTGCCCCCACCCCCCACAACATATGGCTGTGGTTGTCAAAAATCGGGTAACCCCAAAATGGATCCCTGGCAAATGGACACATGGACTAAACCCTGCGGTCCCCTGCTTTAATGTTGACCCATACCCATATTTGGTACCCATTCTGGTGCTACCGTTGGTTTTGCGCCTGGTCTAAGTTTGTGCTTTTTGAGTTGATACCCTTTGTTGGCTGGGCTTCAAGAGAATCAGAAAGAAAAAAAAAACGGTTCCCGGTTCCCAGAAGGTCTATTTCAACACACACACACACACCCATTGCGGGTGCCACATTCCCAGGATCAACATCACACCAAGCCCCAGGATCACGTGGAGGGATCGATCTCAACTTGAGACATGATCCCTTTCGTTGGGGGGCAATTTGTCAACTTGCAGGCGGCTGACTCGCATGGATTGGTCGAACACCGCCCGGAAAACTGAGCACATCCATCACCCACTTCTTTTGGTGTGGGACCTCAAGTAGAGAGGCTAGAATAAGGGTACACTTCTTTTTTCTGTGGTCTATTTTAGTAGGGGAACCCTCCCAACCAAGAAAGGGGAGAGAAAGGGCACCCAGCTGGGGGACCTAGAGTTAGGGCAGGCCTTGCCCATCTTTTTTTGGTACCCGAGCGTGACCCCCACCCTACGCAAGCACAGCATTTTTCAACCATTTTTTCACTATTCAAATCGTCATCCTTATTCATTATGCATATTTCCACTCAAACCATTTCATAACAGTCTCAACCTCAAAATCCATCAAAAAAGTTACATTTTTCTCATTTTCTATTCCATCATTCTTGTCATTGTTAGGATGCCTGAGTGGAAATAGGAGTATAGGGTGGTTCATATGATATGGTTATTGATGGTAGGATGCATGGGCAAGGTTAAGCTCATTCATAAAAAAAATCAAAAATAATATTGTTCAAAAAAATAATATTTCTCAAAAAAAATAATATTTTCAAAAAAAAGTAATTTTCTCAAAAAAAAATAATATTTTCAAAAAAAAGTAATTTTCAAAAAGTAAATTCGCAAAAAAAATTTTCAAAAATATTATTCCAAAAATTATGATAAATTATCTTACAATATTTTTATCATAAATTTTGTAGAAATATTATGGGCAAGGTTATGTTCATTCATTAAAAAAAAACAAAAAAACAAATTTTATAGAGTATAACTATGGTATAATGAAAGGTTATAAAGTTTTACAATGTTAATTTATATTATAATAACATAATATAAATAAACTGTCGCCCCAAAAAAGGGGGAACCCCACCTAATTTCAAGAAAAACATGCTGTTTTGTCGTTGGATTATTATCTATGAATAAACCCCCGTATCTTCATCATAGTCAATTTGATAAAATGTCATAGTTGAAGCCTTCGGTTCTTTAATTTCTTTGTTATTAAGTTTGTTTAAATAAATATTTCTTTTATTTTTATATTCACCATTGGTTCTATCTACTTCTTTACTTTGATAACTGTTTGTTAAAGGTTTCTTCTTTTCCATTTCTTGCAAGATTTCTAAAATATTCTTATTCTGTTCTAAAACCTTGTTCAGTTTTTTAACAATCTTTTCTAATCCTTCATCCATGTAAATATATATATTATATTATAAAATAAAACTTTTAAAACTAAACTTTTATTTTACAAAATCATATATCATTATAAGTCAATTCAAAATTAGTTATTGTGTAACTCGTTAAATTATTATTCAATTTACCAATTAAATTACAAATAATAGTTTTTCTAAATTTTGAATATTTATGAAACTTTTCAATATTATTGTAATATAAATTATTAAACATTTAATACATTCAAACACATTAACAACATTAATGTTACTATTTTTGTAAATATTATTCATTTTTCTCAATGTAATTTCATAAAACTGAATAGCATTTTTATTATCATAATTAGCAATAAATCTTAAAGTATATGAATATATTCTTTTACAATAGAATTTTAAATCTGATTGTTCAAATAAATCAGCATAATTAATAGAATTATAAAACATGTTAAAATCAATTTTACTATTTCTAAAGTCATTAACAAAATTAATTAATATATCATTTTCGTTATATTCTTCAATAAAATTATTCAATTTCAATTCTTTTACATCAATGAATTTAATAATATTATTTATAACATCTTGCATTATAAATAATAATAGAAATAATTTTAACTATTATTTTTTCATCATTTCGCGTATAGTTTCCTGAGTTTCCTTATCACCATTATCGGATGGAGTAACTCCCCTCCCAAAGCGTATAGCAATATTATGAACATCTGTTTCTAAGTTGATACTGTCTTTAGTTTTATCAATATTCATTTTCTTATCATTCTTACTTAGTTTGAAACTTGTCGGAATACACGAGCATTTACAATTTCCTTTCTTTTGTATTTCTAATTCATTCTTCATTTCTAACATCTTTTTACACATCGGACAAGCAAACTCAATAACTGATGTTTCTTTAACAACTTCTTCTTTTTCTTCATCAGTTGAAGAAACAACTGGTTCAGTCTTAATCTTTTTCTTTCTTCCCATTTATATTAATATTTACATTTTTATTTTTGATATATTGTATCACAAACTTAATTATTTCTAAAGCAAAATAGCATACTTTCTTGCATCTATTATCAGTTATAACAACTTGTTCTAAATTCTCTACTTCATCTATTATATCAATATAACCCGAATAGCTTCTATTCATATAAAATAATAAATATAAAATATTTTCTAAATAACTTTAATATTATTTTATTATGTCAGATGTTCCAATAATAAAACCAATAAACATAACTGAATATGAATTCAAACAATCTAAATATGAGCACGTGCCAAAATTACCATTTAGAAGTATTATAGTCGCGAGTTCGACGGGAGGCAAAACAGTTTTAGTTCAGAATCTTATTTTAAATGTTTATAGAAATTCATTTGCAAGAATATTTATATTTTCACCCAGCGTTCATAATGACCCAACCTTTACAGAAGTTAAAAAATATATCAGGGATGAATTGCACGTGGATGATGAAAAAGAACAATTTTATTTTGACAATTACAATCCAGCAGATTTAGAAAATGTAATTGAAAGACAGAAGAAAATAATTAATTATATGAAATCTAAAAAGATAAAGAAACTACATTCAATATTAATCGTTATAGACGATCACGCCGACGATCCTAAATTTGTTAGATATAGTAAATTATTACATGGATTATTTACAAGAGGTAGGCACGATGCAGTAAGCGTAATTTGTTCAACACAGAAATATAATGTGTTGGCGCCTATCATTCGTTTAAATGCCAGTTCATTATATATTTTTAGGTTGAAAAATGCCAGTGAATTAATGAGTTTTATTGAAGAAAATAGCGCCATTGTTGACAAACAGCAATTATTAGATATGTATCATCAAGCCGTTAATGACGCACCTTATAGTTTCTTCTACGTGAATATGAATGCTAAAGACATTAACAAAATGTTTCATATCAGATTTGAACAGGCGTTTCAAATTACGAATGATGAATAAAGATATTCTAATTTAATATAATATAATAATATGCAATGAAACTATGTAGATGTGGTGGATTTTATCGTAGAGGTAATTACAATTTTCATACTAATTCTTGGATACATAAACTTTATAAAGTGTTAAAAAGACGACCAACAGACGAGGAATTATTAAGATTTCAAAATAATTTTGTTGATGAAGAAGATTTAATAGATCAATGCTTCAACAAAATTACCAGAAGATGAAATGACAGATTATGATACTAATTAATAATATTAATGTATGTTAATATTATCAATTTAGAATAAGGAATAGCTACATAAATTTAAGGCAGGAAATTTATAATATGTTTTATCTTTTTTACATTCATTAACTTTTTCTAATTTATTTATTATTGCTTTCAATGAATTTATTTGTAGAATATCAATTCTTGACATTTCACTTATCGTATTTACATCTATATCTTTTATTACTTTAATAGCCTCTTCATCATCAATTTCTACTGGTTTTGATTTACTTGAACCCATTATATATAATATTATTTAGATTTTAATTTTTCAAAATTATATTTTTGTTTTTCTTCTCCGTCTTCTTCTTCTTCGTCTTCAGTTGGTGCTGGTATTTCTGTTGGACTTTCAGATGAAGAACTATGAACAGTAATAGGTGGAGAACTATGAACACTAATAGCTTCATTTGATGAATTGCTACTGCTACCTTGTGCATTTCCTGCTGTTATTTGATTAACTAAATCTGCGATATTTATTGTTGTTGCAATTGCGCTATGTGATAAGTTTAATATTATATCTGCTACTGTAGCGCCGTTGTGTAGCATTATTTCTATCATTTTTGTCAGTTTGAATCTTTTTTCTTCTTCATCGCTGTCCTCCTCGTCTGGTGGTTTCTTTGGCGGTGGTTCTGGTGGTTTGTTGTTGTCAAGCATTGTAGTAAAGGCTGACACCATTGTGTCGCGTTGGTTTTTCAGTGTTTGTGTTGCTTGCGTTCTTGTTGGTTCATGTCTTTTGTATGCGTTGTGCCAAAAGTTTTTAAGCATTATTTTAAACATATTGTCTTGGTT